GCGATAGCCGTTGATGCCGCATCTCGCCAACACTTTCCAACTTTGTGTCAGCTCGTGCCATCCGCTTCACAGCGCCCTGCGAGAGAAAAAAACATTCCTGCGGGGGGAGCTGGTAGGAACGTTGGGTTGCTCGGTCAATGGCCAGGGTCAACGGCGGCGTGGTGTATTCCGCAAATATGCCCGACTGTGAGGGCGGGCACAAGCCGGCGTGAGTAGGTTAAACGTTGAGTTTTATAAGAGCACCACGGGGTGATCAGCCCCTCCCCACCCAGCCCCACCCCTCCCTCCCACCCCCCACCCAGCCCCACCCTCCCCACCCAACCCCTCCCCACCCAGTCCATCCCCAACCCTCCCCACCCAGCCCCTCCCCACCCTCCCCTCTCCACCCAGCCCGACCCCTCCCATTTTTGGATGCACGACTGACGGACGGACACAATAATCCTCTGTGGGCTGGTGGAACCAGGTGGTTCCTAGCAGTAAAACTAATTTGTCTATGAAAATAACCTGCCTGTGTGCTTTGCCAAGAGCACAGTCAAGCGGAAGATGGTGTGCAATTGCCCCCTAAGCAAACACGCGCCATGTAAGAAAATGGCAATCGTCCCTTGCCACTAAGTGGCAGTGACGACAACCCACAGTGCTTGTGCCAGGCTAGGTGCACTTTTGAGGTCACGTGAAGCGTCGACGGCGCGCTTTTCTGGCAGGTCACGGAACAAACCCGGGTGGAATGGGTTTACTGAGCAAGATGATTAACGGATGCACCACGTGTTCTTCTCACTGCACCAACTCACTGTGTTTTAGCAGCCCGGCGCTCCGCTCGTTGTTGTGAGCATTACTCCTCCGCCCTCCACTATTGCTGGAGGACGACTGCCTCCAAGTGCCCAGTAGCGTCCGTCAATAATCTCAAATAAAATAAAACTCCACCATCACCACCATCATCATCACCACCATCATCAACAACAACCGCCATTCGCCACTAAGTGGCGGTGACGTCACCACGAGGCTTGTGCCAGGCTATGTGCACTTTGAGGCCACGTGAAGTGTCGAACGCCCGCTGGCAGGTGGTCACGGGGCAGACCCAGCAGGTGCCACGGGTCGACTGACTGAGACGACTGAGATGACTGGCTGATGCACCACCTGTGCACCCTACTGTGTCAACTTGCTGTGCTTTAGCCACCCGGCGCTCCGCTCGTTGTTGTGAGCGTCGCTCCTCCGCCCTCCGTTGTTGTTGGAGGGCGACTGCCCCCAACTGCCCTGTAGCGTCCTTCATGAGCCTCCTACACAGAGGCCGATCTTGACACCGCTGGTACCAGTCATCGGCAAGTCCACTCAGCTCCACATCATCCTGTACCACATCACTCCATCTCTTCTCTAGCCCGTCTCGCGCCCGTTTAGCTCCCTAGATCCGGCCTAACAAAAGCTGTTTAGGCATGCGGTGGCTGGGCATGCGGGCTACATGACCGAGCCAATGCAGCCTTGCCTGCCCGGAGGAACTCACCGATGGGATTTTGTCCAGATCTTTCAAGGATTTGTGAGCTCCTCACACAATCCAGCCTAGTTATACCCAGGATGGATCGTAGGCAGGCGAGCCTACATTTTTCTAACCGGCGTAGACGTTCCATTCGGGGGGTCCACGTTTCGCAAGCATAGAGAAAGGAGGAAATGACTGGCCGAGAAGACCTGAAGCTTTGTGTGGAGCGACAGACCAGGTAGCTTCCACACAGCGTTACGCAACCGATGAAAAGATAATGCCGCTTGACTGATTCGGAGTGAGACATCTGCTGTTAAACCGGAGCAGGTCATGAGCACACTGCCCAGGTAGGGGAAACTCCACAACCGCCCTAATCATCACCATCATCACCACCATCAACATCAAAGCCACCCTATACAGCCTTAACAGACAGTTGAGGCAAGTGCTGTTAGTGAGCACCTATGAAGGCCGACAAAGCACACGAGGGGGTGGCCAGCACCACGCCTGGACGCCATTGTCTCCCTAGTGCTGATCTTTACACACCGCACCAGGTACTCATTTGCGGTTGAGTCGACCTAGGGGAGGCCCAGGACCGGTTAAGATAATAGCCACTGATGTTGGCCGTGAGCGGGTATCGAATCCCTATAACACCACCACATACATGATCCCTTTCAATCGAAAAGAGCATTGACCCGCAAACACACAAACAAATTACCAACACTGATGTCTTATCACACAGGTGACAAGGTAATGTTAAACATTGTACACTGGCGTGTCGGTCCAAGGTTCATTGGTCCAACACTCGCGATTGTGACATCGCGAATGGACCACCCCAGAAAATGGCTTCTAATGCCCTCTCTCGTGAAATTAACGAAACATATTAGCGTTGCTGTATCTGCTTACCTAAGTCACCGCGATTACTCCTTGATATCTGCTCAACGGTTGGACTACGTCCCCACATGTGCCGCTGGACGAGAGGTGCAGGGAGGGGTGCAGGGACGTCGGCAGCATAATTGCTGTGGGCGTGGTTTTAAGAATCTGAATATTTATTTATACTGGAGGAGGAATCCGATGAGCTATGAAGCTCTTTTCGCACAGATGTCCAGTCGGGGCACGGGGCCAGGACGTTACAACAACAAATAATACACAAACACGATAGGAGTGCAAAGTATACGAAAGGTAAGGATATCACAATAAAAAAAAAAGTTACATTTTTTTAGTTTACCAGATATAGTCCACTGAACGATTATCTTCATAATACAGGTTTTTGGGTCAGATCGCGTTATTTATAAATGTGTCGTAAAAACCTATATTATGAATAATATTGGTCGCGAAAGCCTACGTGTTAAAATTAACGATTATCTTATTTTTCAGAAGCGACCTGGCCACAAATGATAGCTCAAGGAAGTGGTTTATCATGTGGGAATTTAGAGCGGCCAAATCATCTAAACGCGTGATGTTGATTCTAAATATCGAGGGAAAAACTGGAGGAAGCGGAAGAAAAAAAATCCACACGACCATGGGGAGGTAGACACGCAAACTCTAAATTATACAAGCATCAGGGTCGGGATTGCACCCACGACCTCCTGCATACCAGGCGAGGAAGAAAACATCTCGCCACCGTGGAGTCCTTAAAGTAGATAACTAATTTTTGCATGGGGGTTTCCCACCTTTTGAATCGGCAACAAAAATAGTTTAATATTAAACAAATTATCTGGTGCTGCAACTGCGTTGGCAGTGGTGGTGCACACACACGAATAACAAAGAAACGCAACAAATTCGTAAATACAGAGTGTCCTCGACTTCCAAACACCCGACCTACGAACACCCGCACTTACGAACACCCGCACTTACGAACACCCGCACCTACGAACACCCGCACTTACGAACACCCGCACTTACGAACTCGCTTCCATGAAGTATTAATTTTAGCGTCGACTTAAAACGTGAACTCGCACTTGCAAACGGAACCACGTAACTATTTCGTTCAGCGGAGCGATCCTTTGTGAGATGTAATGAGTCAGCCTCTCGCTGGGAGTGAGTCTTTGTGTGTGCGCACACACACACACATGTGCGCACATGTGTGTGCAGCTTCTGTGTGTGCAGCTTCTGTTTGGCCGCATCTAGGGAGCTAAACGGGCGCGGCACGGGCTGGAGAAGAGATGGAGTGATGTGGTACAGGAGGATGTGGAGCTGAGTGGACTTGCCGATGACTGGTACCAGCGGTGTCAATCTCTGTGGAGGAAGCTCGTGAAGGACGCTACTGGGCAGTTGGAGGCAGTCGCCCTCCAGCAACAACGGAGGGCAGAGGAGCGACGCTCACAACAACGGGCGGAGCGCCGGGTGAATAAAGCACAGCAAATTGGCACAGTAGGGGGCACAGGTGGTGCATCTCAGTCGACCCGTGGCACCTGCTGGGTCTGCCCCGTGACCTCCTGCCAGCGGGCGATCGACACTTCACGTGGCCTCAAGGTGCACATAGCCTGGCACAAGCGTCGTGGTGACATCACCGTCACTTAGTGGAGAATGTCGGGTATTGGTATTGGTGTGAGTGTGGGGGGAGCGGTGGTGCAGCAGTTAGCGCACTGCGCTACGAACCAGGTGACCCGAGTTTGATTCGCGCTCACGGCCAACACCGGTGACAATTATCTGAACCGGTCATTGGCCTCCCCTAGGTCGACTCAGCCGCAAATGAGTACCTGGTGCGGTGTGTGAACATCGCAGCTGGGGGAGACAAAGGCGGCCGGGCGTGGTGCTGGCCTCCCACCCCTTCATAGGTGCTCGCTAACGGCACTTGCCCCTACAGTCTGTTGAGGCTACACGGGGGATCTGCGTGTGTGTGAGTCCCCCTCCCACCGCCCGCGTTTGTGTGCCACAGATTGTGGTGGCTCATTGCACCCTTCCGATAAGCAAGCCAGCATCACGGCTCAAGGGACTTGGGAATAAAATCGATTTTTCTACTTCTATTTCTGTTATTTTTTTTACTTGTATTTTATATATAGTTTTTTTTGACAAATGTACAAAATTTCATCTTATTTATGAGTTCAACAATGCTGACCTGTTTGTTGTTGAACCATTTCATGACACTGACCGTATGGGCATTTACATCGAGTCAATTATTGAGTTCCGACTCACGAACAGGGCCCCAGAAACTAATTATGTTCGTAAGTCGATGTAAATCACCACATCATGGCAAGCTTCGGGGCCACTTCCTGGAGTCTGCCATTACTAGGACATTTCATTAAAGCGAGTTTTTAAAAAGCTTTAAAAAATATAACAAAAGTCTCGCGCTCGCAAACATCACGTGGTCGGGGGGCGGGGTTCGGGGGGTGGGGGGTGTTTATCTCTCCCCTCTGCGATTCCGATTCACAAACATCGATTCTCTTGGCCCCCCCCCTCACGATCCATTAATGCCTCCGCCGAAGCGCACGAGGCGCGCGAGAATCGTATTCAAGAATTAATCGAACCTCGCGATTCCCCCACGGGTTAACGAGCGGCGAGGAATCGATTGGGTGTTGTTGCTGGGAGGAGTTACGAATCGAATGAATCGATGCGAGCGCTCGGTCGGCGTTGTGTTTGTGAGCCGCCGCTTCGCCTTAGCGGAGTAAAAACACTTCGTATTCGTCGTCGTCTTCGTCGTCGTCTTCCTCACTTATCACTCTGTCCGTGGCTGGAGGCGGCCCGCCAAGGTGACGCCCGCGGCTTGGAAGCGCGTTCAAGGTACATCTCGAAGAGGCCGCTCGCCCTTCGTTGTTGATACTTAATAATCATCGGGAGTTGAGCAACGCCGCTCAAGTTCCCTTGATTCATATCCATGATTGTTGTTGTCGCTGCTGTTCCGCTTGCAGTGTCGCGTGGAGTTTGTGTTGTTGTAAATTGCTCGCGTCTTGGATGGACTTGTCCCCGGTCACGGGAATGTGGAGTGGAATTACATTCCCGTGACGCTCCAACAATAGGGGGGGGGGGGGGGGTGGAGCGATGAAATCATCTTTGTGTGGATTATTGCGTCTCCCACGGGATCTCTAGAGATGGGGACCAGTTGCTGGAGGAGGATTGTCATCATCCAGCAGGGGATTGATCCTGCCCGGTTACATTAAATCGCACCGTGTCGTTACTTTTGCTCCCCTTATAGGAATAACAATCGGCGCCTGGGTCTCGTCACACCGAAAGCAGAACTTTTAAATCCTTTATATTAAGTTCACTTGCTTGCTTAGGACCGTGCAAATCTTTCGGTCGTTTTCTAACCCACTTCCCGTGATCCAATCGAGCTGACATTTTGCACACAGACTCGTTGTGCCAGACAATTATTGTTCGTGACATTTTTTTCTCCAAAATTTTACACTGTTTAGGGAAAACAAATTAAATATTTAATTACCAATTGCTTAATACTGGAAGACAATCATCTGACCCATAGGTGGCAGCCATCTCAAGCCAGAGGACGAGAGGACTCTAGCCGCCACGCATATAAAGGATTTATAGTGAAAAACTTTGTTTTTACGGGTTTACTTGTTATAAATCTAGACCATGGCTTTGCAAACCTGTCAACCCCCGAACCCGAACCTGGTTACAGACCAATTCAAACCTTGTCGGTCACCCCGTGCCCCTTATAATCCCAATGTTCATCCTGTAAAGTCTCATCAACAGGGAGAAACACAAACAAATATACAAAAATTGTTGTTGGCCTATGAGGCCGTCCATAAATGACGTCACGCACCTGGGGGGGGGGGGTCAGACATTTGTGACGATGTGTGACGAGGGGGGGGGGGGTGAGAAATGTGACGTCACATCAAAATGCGCAACTTTAAATAAATATAGACAACACGTTCTACTTAATTAAATATACTTTTTAATAAATGTTTCCTCCTACAACATCAGAGTGCAGCGGCACATTAAATACGCACCACAATGACAATAGTTTAACGCGATTTGAAGCATGTTTATTTTTTTGGGGGGGGCAGAGCTTTGTGACGTCATATTTAAGGGGGGGGGGTCTGACTTTTGTGACTCCGTGTGACGAGGGGGGGGGGGGTCAAAAATCGTCCACAATCGCGTGACGTCATTAATGGATGGCCCCTATTGAAACGGCTGTATTCCGTATGGACCCGAAAACTCAATGTACAAGAATAAGGAGCAAACTGTATGGGTTGACAGCTATGGCTTTGTATGGGGTGACTACCACCGTGCATGACAGGGGCTGGGTCCAGTGTACGGAGGGATATCTTCATCCAGCAGTGGCTTTACAGCGTCGTGTTAATGTACCATTGTTAAAATTGTCTTTTTTTCCCTCTCGATTATTTCGTTTTAGACATTGGATATTAATTATGCCGTTTTCTGCATACAGCTACAGTATTTTGGTCCCAAGGGCCTCCTACAATAACATAATTTACAGCTCTTTGCCAATCCACTGCTACGTGAAGATATCTAATAACATTCTGGCAAATCGCCCGATGAAGCTGATGGTTGCTGTTGTTGTGATCACCGGCAAAAACGTCACAGGACTCGAATTGTAAATGTTGTGGCTTGTGGGTTTACTCTCCGAACACACCCAGAGAGTGTTGACGCAGTCACGAATTGGCACGTTTTGTTTACAGAACAACCTTACTAGTTGGCTTTGTGGGGGTGGTGGGTTAACGATACACATCAAATTTACGCTATCTAACCCAACATAAAAACCTTTATTATGGATATTGTTTTAACCAACAGGTCAGTGTTGACGGTGTGGAATGTGGGGAGGAGACCCAGTGGCTGGTTTGCTTAAAGCACCCGAAGTGACTTATCCCCGTGTATTATTTGTCATATAAATGTCATGCAACTGGACAATGTACTACAGGAGAGGCTACGGACGGTCATTCTCTGCGGGTGGTGGTGCACACTCACAGTTTGAAGCCAATGAACCTTGGACCATGAGATGAATGTGGTACAATCTTTTGGCATCACCTTGCCACCTGTGCGATAAGACATCAGTGCTTGTTTGTGTGCCTTTGGGCATGAGCCCTGTTCTATTTCAAGGAATCATGTGAGGTGGTGGTATTGTTTTAATTACCGCACATGTTGTCTTGCATGGCAATCACACGCAGCTGTTGCGTGATGTTGCTCTTGGCAAAGCTGACGAGCAGTATTTTTTCTTAGCCAAATATTGAACTCTTTAAAAGGCATAGGAGTAGATGGTTGTGTGTAACGCTTAAGGCTGAGAAGTGTTTATAATCGTTGAGATTACTTGGCTGCTACAAATTTAGACGTGATAAGCCACTTCATTGAGCTATCGTTTGTGGCCAGGTCACTTCTGAAAAATAAGCTAATTACTCTGGGCTTTACCTGGTGAAATAAAAAAAGTTTAGTTTTATTTGTATTTTTTGTGATCTTCTTACCTTTCCTATACTTTGGGCTCCTATTGTGTTTTTGTACTGGTAGGAACCTCCTGGTTACACCAGCCCATAGGGGATTATTGTGTCCGTCCGTCGTGCAGGGAGGGGCTGGGTGAGGAGGGTGGGGAGCGGCTGGGTGGGGAGGGTGGGGAGGGGCTGGGTGGGGAGGGTGTTGAGGGGCTGGGTGGTGAGCGGCTGGGTGGGGAGGGGCTGGGTGGGGCTGGGTGGGGCTGGGCGGGGAGGGGCTGGGTGGGGAGGGGCTGGGTGGGGAGGGGCTGGTCACCCCGTGGTGCCCTTATAAAACTCAACGTTTAACCTACTCACGCCGGCTTGTGCCCACCCTCAGTCGGGCATATTTGCGGAATACACCACGCCGCCGTTGACCCTGGCCATTGACCGAGCAACCCAACGTTCCTACCAGCTCCCTCCGCAGGAATGTGTTATATGTTGTAATGTTTTGACCCCATGCCCCTCTTACTGGACATGTGAGTAATTCACTAACTGAATAGGGAGCACTCAGCCCTAGCTTTTGTTTGTTTAACTTGGCAACGTTTATGGGACTGAACTGTTGTGCCTCGAACTTGGCAGTGAGGTGTTAACTAACTCGTCTAATATACAGGAGGGCGTGGGTTCGAGCCCAACTCCGAAGCCTGTTGTATACTGCATGTTCTCCCTGTGGTCGTGTGGATTTTTCTCTGGGCCCTCCGGTTTTCCCCTCCACATTTAGAATCAACATCACGTGTTGAATAGTATTTGGCTGCTATAAATTTCCACATGATAACCCACTTTTTGTTGAGCTATTATTTGTGGCCAGGTCGTGTCTGAAAAAGAGCTTGATAGCTCATTGGATCGCTCCTCCAGTCCAAATAAATATTCTGATTCTGATGCACATGGTGAATTTTTTCGTGTTTTGTTTAAGCAATGTGATCTTTGGAGGTGGTCCGGTGGTTCAGAGGTCAGAGCGCTGAGCTGGACTCAAGTCCCAAGCAGCTGCCAGTGTAGCGAGTTTATTATACAGGAGTCGCCTAGATTTACTAAAGGGATGATAGATTCTTTAAAAAAAACACTCAAAATGACATTTCGTAAATCGGAATGGCTTTTCCCGTTTTATAAGTTAATACTAAAATTCAGGGATGTATTTAAGGCGGTCATTCCAACTCGTAAATCAAGGGATACACCGGTACCGTGTTGATGCATCTAGATCAGGGGTCAGCAACCAAAGCAACAAGAAGAGCAATTTTTTTACGAATTTGGTAAACAAATTTCAAGAGAGCCGCAATGAACCATTTTGGTGAATACGAGACGGTGGTCCTTAATAAATAAAGCATGAAGCAGTCCCTTGAAGAGCTGTAGGTTGCCGACCCCTGCCCACGGTAAACTGGACTCCCACGGTAAACTGGACTCCCGTGGTAAACTGGACTCCCGTGGTAAACTGGACTCCCATGGTAAACTGGACTCCCGTGGTAAACTGGACTCCCACGGTAAACTGGACTCCCACGGTAAACTGGACTCCCGTGGTAAACTGGACTCCCATGGTAAACTGGACTCCCGTGGTAAACTGGACTCCCACGGTAAACTGGACTCCCACGGTAAACTGGACTCCCGTGGTAAACTGGACTCCCGTGGTAAACTGGACTCCCGTGGTAAACTGGACTCCCGTGGTAAACTGGACTCCCGTGGTAAACTGGACTCCCGTGGTAAACTGGACTCCCGTGGTAAACTGGACTCCCGTGGTAAACTGGACTCCTGTGGTAAACTGGACTCCCACGGTAAACCGGACTCCCACGGTAAACTGGACTCCCACGGTAAACTGGAATCCCGTGGTAAACTGGACTCCCGTGGTAAACTGGACTCCCGTGGTAAACTGGACTCCCACGGTAAACCGGACTCCCACGGTAAACCGGACTCCCACGGTAAACTGGAATCCCGTGGTCAGGGGTCAGCAACCAATATAACAAGAGGAGCCTTTTATTATTTGAAGAGCCGTACTGCAGTCCTCAAAGAGCCGCATTCGACTCCCGAGCCGCAGGTTTTCCGACCACTGCTATGGATGTGTGTGTATATATTCCACCACCCCCCCCCCCCCCAATATGTTTCAGCAGTTACCCCAGTGGCCTCTAGTATTCGGACAAATTACCATTTCACACCTACGTACTGGAAGCAGTGCTGAAGATTGTTTTGTTATTTAATTAAAAAAAAATTATTCCCCAAAGATGTCCCCGATTGTGCTGCTGTGGCAATGTCACGAGACGGGAAAAATCCATTCCGACTGCTCGCAGAGCAGTGCAGAGCCTTTGTCTTGAGAGAACGGGCCCCATAGATGAGGGTACCAGAGATCCATCTCTCAAATTCCCTGCAAGTGAGCTATGTTCCACACAGTAAAGAGCAGCACTTTTCCCACCCACTCAGTCTATTGAGAATCTTTTTTTAACACGTAGGCTTTCGCAGCCAATATCCATAATAAAGGTTTTTTTGGGTGAGTGCGTAAATGTTGTTGTCTGACAGGCAAACCAATCCAATTTTCAGAGCTGGAATTTAGCCCAATTTAAGTGCAGAATCAAACTTAAATTGGTGAGATTTCTGTCCGATTGTTTCTGACCGACGCTGTCTCTTTAACACTGCATTGTGCTTTCATTGTTCACAGATGAAATCGGAGAATTGTGCTCCTGTGCTGCGCCCAGTGCGGGTGAAACAGGTAGAAGAATCCTTGAGCACAAACACAGCCAACATAACACACACACACTCACCTGTGTACTGTTTGTACACAAGCGAGATGTTAACTACCTCGCCTGGTATACAGGAGGTTGTGGGTTCGATCCCGACCCTGATGCCTGTATATATGGAGTTTGCTTGTTCTACCCCATGGTCACGTGGATTTTTCTCTGAGTCCTCTGGTTTTTCCCTCCGCATTTAGAAACGTGCATTTATAGTATTAGGCTGCGATAGATTTCCACATGATAAGCCACTTGGTTGGGCAATAATTTTTCATAGCGACAAGTTGCTTCTGAAAAAGCTGTATAGTTCAATGGGCCTTACCTAGTAAAAAAAAAAAACACAGTTCAGTTCTAGATTAGTTTGTAAAAAGGGAAACATGTGAATGTGCAGTCCTGCAATTTCTCACTCGCACCACTGCTGGTGCAGAAGGTCTCGTCTAGAGGGAGCTGTGGAGAGTCCCACTGGACAGGGTATTTGTGGCCTACTCTTCCACACTGGCCAGACTTCTTGGGAGAGGTGGGAGCGCTCACCCCTTACCCCACCATAGGCAACCTGCCAGTCGATTAACTGGTGTGTGCACTCATTAATGCTGCTAGGTGGATAGAAGTGGTGGTGTTTATGTACGTTGAACTTCTTTCGCACCGTACGTAGCCAACTGTGCGAGTCGGAGGTACGGGGGAAGGACAACAAACTAAATACAAAAAGCAGTTCTAAAGAAATGAGTTCTCAATTTAGTGTGGTGTAGAGTAGTTTATTGTATAATAGTGTAGTGTACAATAGTGTAGTGCATAGTATAGTATATAGTAGTGTGTATATGTGTATGTTGAACTTCTTTCGCACTGTACGTAGCTAACCGTGCTAATCGGAGGTGCGAGGGAAGGACCACACACTAAACATAAATGCAGTTTTAAAGAAATACGTTTTCAATCTAAAAAAGATAGTTTTCAAGGGGGGGGGGGGGGTATTTAAGACCCTTGTACCATTATTTCAACTGCTGCTTTGGGGCATTAAACAAGCGACCTCTGGATTGTAAGACCAGTGCCATCCCCTCCTGTATATGTAGGTCAGCAAACTGTGACCACCCCCTCCATGCATGGCCAATTGTTCTGTTGTTGCTGAGATGAGATATTACTCCACAGGCAGGCTGGTAGCCACTTAATTGGCCTTTCATTCCTTGGTCATGCAATAACTCGTCTCGGCTTACGGTTGATGCAGCAGCACTTCACATCGTTGAATTAAAAATGATGTGGCCGGGAGGCTCAGAAGTCAGAGCCCCGTGTAGGCACCGCTGAGAATCCTTGGGTGGAATCCAGGCAGCTTTCTGTGACTAAACTGGGTTCTCAAGTGCAGTGAGTTGGTGTTTTCAATTCGGTCGCAGTCCATTATATCTGCCCTGAAATGTGCCACATACATCTGCTGTACAGAGGGCATTGAAAACCGCGTGATGTAATTTTCCAGAGTAAATCATTCCATTCCTGTGGCATACATAGCTCATAAACAAAATGTAAACATTTTCTGCAGCTAAATTACAAATTAATATCCCCTATTTTCACAGTAGTGGCTCCAGCCAAGTTAGATGTATGTATGTTGAACTTCTTTGCCACCATACGTAGCCAACCGTGTTAATCGGAGGTGTGGGTGAAGAACAACAAACTAAACACAAAAAACTGTTCGAAAGAAATTAATTTTCAATTGAGATTTAACAGAAGTGCAGTGACTCCACACATGACTGTGATTATACGCGACGGAACATTTGGCCAAATCTGTCTTGTTGCCACAGATGTTTTCAATATCTGCAGCACCACTATTCTTATGTTTCTGGTCAGATAATTACACTTAACACGCACAAAGCAGTGCTCAATTTCATTTGAGTTAAAGGTTATATGAAAAATGAATTCAAAATTGGAAACGGTATTGCTATTCTCATTGCTGTTGTTGCAAATGCAAACAATAGTAAACAGAGAGGTTGAGCCCATGCATATGGACATTGATCTAGGCCCTGTTGCTGTTCCTGTTGCTGTTCCTGTGCTGTTCCTGTGCCCGCAAAGGCCAGCATTTCCCAGTGTCCGTGAAAATGAGGCTTTGGTTGTGTGTGGTGTTTGTGTGCAGGGTGGACAGGTGTGGGATTCTGTGCAGAAAGCAGCATTCGTATTGGGGACCGGTCTGCTGGTGTTTGCCGCAGCGAGGAACACGATCACATGGTGAGAACCTCGACGTTCAGTCCTCCTCAAACCCCCCCACCCCCCACCCGAGTCCTCGCCAGCACCTCGCACCATGCAGCTTGCCTGCGATCGTCAAGATACGTTTCCATTCTCGCGTAGATCAAGCTGCCGCACGCACTGCACGCGCCTGATGGTTGGTAATCGTGAAATGGTTGCACCATGGTGGAAATTGCGAGCATTGCACTCCTTCCTCAATGGCTTAGAATGTGTGCATGAAATAATTTGCGCAACTATCGGTTATTAATAATGCACTCACGATGTAAGCGTATGCGATTGTAGTGACATTGCGGATGTCACTGTGTAATGCCGACTCTAGAGAGGCACGGCGTGCGATGTAGCGACATCGCGGGCACCACGTGTATGGGTGCGGTACCGGCCCTAGAGGGGCTAGGTGAGCGCTGCCTGACAGTGCTGGATGGCACCACGCTCTGCGTGCAGTGCCGACCCCTACAGGATGGGGTGTCGGGATGCGGCCAAGGGAATGTGGTTACTATAGGCCATAGCATTCTGGTTGACCCCGAAGGACACGTGACCGGTAAAGTCTACACAGGGGCCCCAGGTGGGGGCTAGGGGTGGTGACGTGTCAGGGTCGAGATCCTGCTCGAGGGTTCTAAAAGATGGTCGTGGCTAAGGGCGGAGCTAGCCACGCCACAGAGGATATAAGCCGGGTCCCTGAGAGGGACCGGCTGCTGTTGTTCATCCTGAAGAATCGATGTTCTACGTTCTACGTCCTACAAGAGTCACCAACACGTGGACCGGGACCCAAGCTCGGGTCCGGTCCATCGTAGATAGTTCCAGTGTAATTAGTGCAGTTAGCCTGGTGGTCTACCACCATGGGTTGTTATCTTGTTAAGGGGTAGTACCCCGTGCGTTGGTTTTAATAAATGTGTTGCCTCCAAGAAGTGCGTCTGCGACTCGGTTGAACTCACTACACAATCATTAGATTAGGCTAATGGGGTGAACAAAACTATATTAACCAGATGAGAAGCAAAAATGGAACAAAACAAAACTACGTTACAATTTATGGAAATGCTTTTGGTGGGGCGGTGAATTGCTACAGGCCTATTTGTAAATATATATATTGTATGTGTACTTTGATTAGCAGTGAGTGTCATTGGCTATTGAAAATATATTGTCACTTGCAGCTGGGGTGCTGCTGAGCGAACGCGTTGTGAACTGTGTAGCGCGTGTACCAGTTTCTGATTACAGTATTATAAAAACACAAATGGAAGTGACATCCGGCAAAAAAGACGCAAATTATGTAACAGCAAACTTTTTCATTTTTTAGCTTAACCATTTTTTATTTTACCAGGATCCCCTGAGCTCTGAAGCGACCTGGCCACAAATAATAGCTTGCCGAAAAGTGCGTTATCATTTGTAAATTTACATTAGTCAAATACTATTAAACGCGTGATGTCAATTCTAAATGTGGAGGAAAAAAACGGAGGGTCCGGGGAAAAATCCACACGACCACAGGGAGAACATGCAGACTTCAAGTATACAACAGGCATTGGGGGTCGGGATCGAACCCACGACCTCCTATATACCAAGCGAGGCAGTTAACATCTCGCCACCGTGGTGCCCAACTACTGCCAAGTTAGAGGCACAACAGTTCAGCCCCATAAACATTGCCAAGTTAAACAAACAACAGCTGGGGCTTAGTGCTGCCTATTCACAGTTAGTGAAGTTCTCACATCAACCCGTTGCCTGCTTGCGCCGACCATAGATTTTTTTTTCCCGGCATATTTCAGAAACTAAGCAGGCTTGAGTCTACAGGGCACTTGGATGGGTGATCACCACATGTAAGTCAGATGTAGCAGGCTGTTTTCAAAAATGAGCTTTAGATAGAGGTGCCTCAAGAGGTCAGAGCGCTGATCCTGGAAACCGCTAAAATCTTGTGTTCGAATTGAGGCAGCCTGCTGTGATTAAACCAGGATCTCATATGCAAGGAGTTGCTGGTCTCGGCCTTTTCTCCAATGTCTGAATCAATTTCCATCTCATTAAATATGGCGCTGCTAACTTCCAGCTCTGAAAAAATTTCACTTTTGACTGTCATGCAAATGAACATCATCCATTCTTAGAGGTGGAATGTTTTTGAGTGGCGTTCTTCTGGGTGCCCTGCGATGCCAGCGGAGGGGATGAGGGAGGGGGGCGGTGTGCTGTGAAACTGAGCCTGTGAAAATTCAACAACATTGTTTCTGGCCAAACCATACTCACGGTGGTGTGATGTTATTTTCCTCACCTGTTATGCAGGAGGTCGGGAGTTCGATCCAACCCTGATGCCTGTATATTTGGATTTTGCATGTTTTTCCCATGGTCACGTGGATTTTTGCTCCAGGTTCTCCGGTTTTTCTCTCCACATTTAGGAACATGCTTTTAGACTATTTGGATAATTTTTCTGCTATAAATGTCCACGTGATAAGCCACTTTTCTGAGCTAGTATTTGTGGCCAGCTTGCTTTTGAAAAATAAGTTAATACCTCAGTAGTCTTTGTCTGGTAGGCTGGGGATGGTTTAGTTGTATTTGTATGTTTGGGTGATTGGTTTACTTTTCGATTTAAAGCTTTCGTGACTGCAGGGATTCATCCTCTTGGTTCTTTCGGTAAAGTCACGTAGAAGGGAAGTAATAAAATAATAAAAAAATAAAACATAATAAAATAATTCTCACGACGTTTCGGCCACAACGCAAGCAGCCGTCCTCAGGTGAAAACCAGGTCCGTCGAGGCGACAGAGTCTGAATGAAGCAGCACACGAGCTTGGAGCATATATATAAGCTGGGCGCATTGACAAAGGAATTTGCATATCAAGAGGAATTTAGCATATTCATGGGAAATGCAGGAATGTGATTAGTACTGCATATGCATGTGCATTATGCAGGATTAACAGCATCAAAGGGAGCTACAGTTGCTGCTGCTGCTGCAGTTGCTGCTGCAGTTGCTGCTGCTGCTGCAGTTGCTGCTGCTGCAGTTGCTGCTGCTGCTGCAGTTGCTACTGCTGCTGTAGTTGCTGCTGCTGCTGCAGTTGCTGCTGCTGCTGCAGTTGCTGCTGCTGCTGCAGTTGCTGCCTTATCCATTTTTAATATAACACTATGTATTATTCTACCCACCTTAATGTGTATCACACTGCTATATATTTACTATACAATTACGACACCATACATTACTCTGCACACTGCACCATGCCAGTGAGTGGAACGCGGTCTGAAAGTCACCGTAAACGTGAACACAATCAGTTAAGATCCGAAATGGTTTATTACGTCCTTCCAATGATTGCTAAGCCAGAATCCATCTTCTCGGTTAAAATTGTCTCTGTGTTTGTATATGTGGATCGCCTCATGAACGAATCTCTCATGATAGCCAGATGGCTTGCAGAGAACCTCTGTCTTGGAGAAGTCAATGTCATGTGAGCCCACTGAGTTGTAACAGTGATCTGCCACGGCTGAGGTGTTTGTCCTACCGTGTTTCAGGTCTGCTTTATGTTCACGGATGCGGTCCGAGACATGTCGTTTGGTTTTCCCAATGTAACTGCTACCACAGAGGCAACAAACTAAGTTGCCACAGAGGCAACAAACTAAGTTGCCTCTGTGGTAGCAGTTACATTGGGGAAACCAAACGACATGTCTCGGACCGCATCCGTGAACATAAAGCAGACCTGAAACACGGTAGGACAAACACCTCAGCCGTGGCAGATCACTGTTACAACTCAGTGGGCTCACATGACATTGACTTCTCCAAGACAGAGGTTCTCTGCAAGCCATCTGGCTATCATGAGAGATTCGTTCATGAGGCGATCCACATATACAAACACAGAGACAATTTTAACCGAGAAGATGGATTCTGGCTTAGCAATCATTGGAAGGACGTAATAAACCATTTCGGATCTTAACTGATTGTGTTCACGTTTACGGTGACTTTCAGACCGCGTTCCACTCACTGGCATGGTGCAGTGTGCAGAGTAATGTATGGTGTCGTAATTGTATAGTAAATATATAGCAGTGTGATACACATTAAGGTGGGTAGAATAATACATAGTGTTATATTAAAAATGGATAAGGCAGCAACTGCAGCAGCAGCAGCAACTGCAGCAGCAGCAGCAACTGCAGCAGCAGCAGCAACTACAGCAGCAGTAGCAACTGCTGCAGCAGCAGCAACTGCAGCAGCAGCAGCAACTGCAGCAGCAACTGCAGCAGCAGCAGCAACTGTAGCTCCCTTTGATGCTGTTAATCCTGCATAATGCACATGCATATGCAGTACTAATCACATTCCTGCATTTCCCATGAATATGCTAAATTCCTCTTGATATGCAAATTCCTTTGTCAATGCGCCCAGCTTATATATATGCTCCAAGCTCGTGTGCTGCTTCATTCAGACTCTGTCGCCTCGACGGACCTGGTTTTCACCTGAGGACGGCTGCTTGCGTTGTGGCCGAAACGTCGTGAGAATTATTTTATTATGTTTTATTTTTTTATTATTTTATTACTTCCCTTCTACGTGACTTTACCGAAAGAACCAAGAGGATGATTTGTTTACCTTTCTTGTACTTTGCACTCGTATCATATTTTGTATTGTTTGTTGTTGTTGTAGATTCCTCCAGTATAAAATATTCAGATTCTGACGGACGACATGCATTTTTGTGTTTAGTTTGTTGTCCTTCCCCCCTGCACCTCCCATTAGCACAGTTGGCTGCGTACGGTACGAAATACGTTCAACGTACATCACTCATACGGCAGAGTGTGGTGTAAGAACGCTGCGCCTCTACTATGTCGATCAGAGATCACTTGGAGGGATCTCAGAGGTAGCTCTGTGACATTCACTTTGTGGGCAGTTCTCGTAACACGAAGGATTGCACCACTTTGCCTCGGTGAGATCTGAATGGATACTTTGATTACGACAACCCAATCAGGATATAAATTTGATGTTATGATTTTTTGTTAAACAAATACTATAAAAAGGAATGAGCTCCGGGTTGGCTTTATCGACTCGTTGTGTCTGGTCCACAGGCACCTGCAGCAGTTCTGGGGCGCGTCCGGTGATTTCTGGCAGTCGCAATGGGCTCTCTTCTACAACGCCTACGAGGACGAGCCCTTCAAGATCTTCGTCTTCTGTGCGTGCTCGAGTCGAATGCGAGATAAAAGCACACTTTCATTCAACAACAACGACAACAAACAGCAGCCATGAATTGTCACCGTGCGGCTGTGACGTCACGATGGAATAGGTGTCAGATGGGGTGCACGTTGAGGCCACACGGAGAGTGGCACCCCCATATCGATGTAGTTAACCCCTTATCCCGTTTCAGACACATACTGCAAGTCGCAGGTTCGGCGGGTGTCCCATTCGCCCTCTGAATCTCGGAACGCGCAAGCGGCTCGGCATTTATTTGATTTAGAGAGGCGTAGGACTGCTCTCTTTAATTACGACATTGTACTGTCCTCGCCGCAGAGAGCTGTAGCGACAAGTCCGCCGCGCTCCTTGATAACTGGTGCCAAACTGTGCCACGTGGCCTCCCGCGTGGTGATGTAAACGTACGTTATCGGAATGGAATCGGATGAACAGGAAAGGGTTAATAGGAGTTGCTATGAATCTAGACGTTTTATCCATTAGAGGCTTTGTTATCTCAATCCCTTGATCGCAGCAAATACTTGAAGTTCCACCAGCTTATTTGTGATTCTCCTCTCAATTGAATTGAGTACCTGACATACGAGAGACGAGGAAAGTGACCCAAACTAATCTTGTGAGCCGTGCCAGCCTTAAAAGGCAATTGCAAACATGTATTGCCTCAAGTATATCTCCTGGCAATGCTTGTTTTTTTTATGCAAGGTACACGCTGTTTTAACAAACAATAACTGAAGAGATTGTGAAATTGGATATCAGAATGTTATGTATTGGGAACAAGGCCATTGCAAGGCTTAGCTTTTGCATTGTCATTGTTTTGAATGTAATAGACTCGCTTGCTTTGATTGGCTTGGCTCATGCCTGTGTGTGCACGTGGTATTGGTCACCCGCCCCTTCGTGTGCTCGCTAACGGCACTTGTCCCAACAGTCTGTTCAGACTATACAGGGAATATTTTTCTTTGCATATGGAAAATGTGTATGGGAGGGGGGGTAGTGGTGGCATAGTGACTACTACCACTATGCATTACTTACCTGGTGACTCATTGAGTGAGCAGGGTGGGGGGGCGTGGTGGGGCAGGATAGATGGGAAAGTGCTGCCACCTTACTGCATACACCAGAGGTCACTTGTAAGGGAATCGCACAAGGTAGCTGATATCCGCTTCCCTTGGCTTTTCGCTATAACAAGGAAGGATTGTGCTACTTTGCGAAAGACTCAGATTGTATGAATGGAGTAAAAGTTAAAACGAAACTCTTTTTAATTATGCAACAGCAACAACAAAAGTAACATGTGAAAAAAGCACTGACAAGCAGATTGGTCGTTTTTGTGTGGTGGTGGTGGTGGAGCCAGGCTCGATGGTGGTCCCCACCGGAATGTTCTGGCTCTTCAACGCCCTGCTGATGTGCGTGGACGTGACCGGCTGGCCCGCGTTCTTCCTCCGCTACAAGATCCAAGCCGATAAGAACGTGCCGGTGAGCGCTAGCTGGGGTGGTGCCCAGGGGGCACTGCTCCTCCCATTCCAGCCAAAAACAAATAATAACAATCGGATAAACAATTGAGTGCATTCGGTATTTGCGAAATTCCGTTAAGAGCGCGAGGGCTCTTGCGAAGGTGCTACGTTTCACCGACGGGTATATTCTCTCGGTAGGCGGGGGGGGGGGGTTCTATTACCGTCTTGTGTTTATCCAATTAAGTAATTTGTAAGTACATTCAGTTCTGATATAACGCCGCGTGTTTTCATGGCACGAATTGGATATAACGCGATCGAGTGAACGGAACTGCATCGCGCGAGTAGGAATAAGCGGTCGTACGGCTGCCTCGGCGTAGCACCATCACACAAGGCATTGGGATGCTGCTGGATGCTTCTAGATGCTACCCCACACATCTCAGTCTTTGTTTGGCCTGCGTACGCATCTCACCTGTTATCGCGGACTGTGCTTTATTTTATATTATTTGTCTTGCTTTGCATACAACTTTGTTGATTTTTAATTACGAGTGTCTTAGCGACTAACACAGCAATATGCATTTTTCACTCGTGTTCATGTTTTTATTTAATGAAGGAATTATATTCTTAAACTGAAAAGCGGTAATTATAAGAGAACACGTAGAAAAAATCTACGATAATATAACAAATGATTGTGAAATATGTGAAGTCAAGTTGATGTTTTCAAAGCCTACTACCCCCTAAGTGTATAATTCCCATTGAAACAATGGTTATTATAACGCGATTTTTCCCTAACGCAGTGGTCCTCAGGAACACAACTACTATCGCGTTATATGAGACCGGACTGTCGTTCGAAATTTGTCAAAGTTGGATGGTGACGCAGGCAAGGGATCTTTGACGTTCACTGCGGTGGATATTTATTCACCACTGCCAATTCAGTATTGCCAAGTGATATGCTTATAATTGGCTTCATTCCTCACGGTTGGGCATACCCTCCCCCCCCTCTCCCCCTCTCCGCGCAGGTTGACCCGGCGAAGCTGAGGAACGCCATCTTCACGGTGCTGGCCAATCAGCTGTTCATCTCCTTCCCCATGGTGCTGATCGCGTACGTGATCTCGCTGTGGCGCGGTGGCACTTGCGGGCCTGAGCTGCCCACGTTCCACTGGGTGCTGCTCGAGCTGCTGGTGTTTGGCCTCATCGAGGAGGTGATGTTCTACTACTCACACAGGTGAGCGGCCCGGTCGCTCGGTGCGCGGGGGAGCCAACGGAGAACGGGTCTCCGCTTGTGTCATCTTAAGGGGCTCAGTTTTTTCCGTCTTGCCGTACGAAAACTCCCGTCACGGATCAGTCTGTTTATTATTCTGAAGGGTCCGTCTGAGATCCGTGTCACTGTTTAGTCTCTTGTTTACAAGATTTTAACCAAAGGCCAATCTATAAAGATTTTTTGGGGTTGGATCGCGTAAAATATAAATGTCTCGTTAAACCCACCACCACCACCTAACAGCCACTTAGTAAGGTTTGTCACGTAAACATAACGTGGCAATTAGTTACTAGTTCAGCACACCGGTGTATTGGAGAGTAAACCCACAACTCTTTGGTTCTTTCGGTAAAGTCACATAGTTAGAAATAAAATTAAACAAATCACGACGTTTCGATCGCAACACAAGCAGTCATCAGGCCTGACGACCGCTTGTGTTGCGATCGAAACGTCGTGATTTGTTTCATTTTATTGTATTTCTAGCTACGTGACTTTACCGAAAGAACCAAAGAGTATGGATTCCTGCAGTCACGAAAGCTTCAAATATTGGTCGCGAAAGCCTACGTGTTAAAAAGGCCAGTCAACATGTTTAAAGCTGCTATTAGAAATCGGTCTGTTGTATAAATAATTCATCAGAAACTGGTCTGCCCTATACACACTTGCTTATTAGTTTTTGTTACTTGCATTGTCAGGGACATCGGTTAATCACCGTAGCCTGCTAAATTCACAAAGCTTTGGCCACGGGTACTGTGGTGATGTCACCAACCAGTGGCGTCATGCGGTTTGGCATGGCTACTGGTGCATGGATTTAATTGGGGGCGCTATTCCTTTCCAATATCCCCCAACCTTCACACAACTCACCATCCCCAGCCTGCAACACTGTCAACAAGTCACTGCTGCCACAGTCACTAGTACATCATGCACACCAACCACTGCCCCCCCCCACAGACCTTTGGGCCACGGTTCCACCCCCCATATGAAAGATGCCGTTTCACTCTGCTCTCCGGATATCGAACTGCCTCCCTGAACACATTGTCGGTGAAATCACTGATTCAGGCCTTCAAATGCCGAGCACACATGGATATCTCGTAACTTCACCACACGCCTTGTAGAATTTGAGTCTTTGAGCTGTAGTGAACCAATGATCACTATTGTCTGATATGGCTCTTGTTCACAATTGCACCCAATACAAAATAAAACTTCTTGGTAGCACGGCAACTGAGACGTTCCGACCGTTGGGCCCCGGTGCATTTGCACCGCCTGCACCACCACTCGAGGGCTACGTGACTGTCGCCACCTCCACCACTCAGTTTGATCTTCCACGAAGCGCCATGGTCCACCCCAAACCGCATCCACCACACAAAACATGGCTGCAGATGCGGATACCTGATGCACAAATAAGAATATTAAAAACTCTCCAGTAAGAGTGGTACAACTGCGGGCATCCAGAATACACCGTACAACGTTTAACGACTCAACACTGCCCATAGACTCGGCACAGACCATATAGCGTATAATGACTCAACACTGCCTATAGACTCAGAACAGATCATAGAACGTATAACGACACAATGCCCCGATCCACAAATACGAAGTAGGCTGATACACTCCGCTGCCTCCCGACGCGATTATCCGGTTTGTCCACCTGCGACTATGTAACTTTGTTAGTTGTTGCTCTGCGTCTACATCATCATCGGCAGCAGCCATACGAAAGAACAAGAACGTGGTGGCGGTGGTGGTGATGAATACTGACTGTTGCCGGCTGCTGCTGCTGCTGCCTTTGCTTACAAACAGGCTCTTCCACCACCCGGCGCTCTACAAGCGATTCCACAAGCAGCACCACGAGTGGACGGCGCCCATCGGCCTCGTGTCCCTCTACGCACACCCTCTCGAGCACTTTGTGAGTTGCTCCCCACCCCCCCAACCCGAGCAAGCATCAGGATCAGGTGGCTCGTTGTGCGGCAGTCTCTTAGTCCTCTTGTTCAAAAGTTTGCGCCGTTCGTTTCCAGCTCTTTTGTCACTCCACTGCTGGATGAGGGCAACCACGCATTAAAGTTATTATTTTGAACCAGGTAAGGCCCACTGAGCTATACAGCTCTTTTTCAGAAGCAACCCGGCCATCACAAATGATAGCTCAACAAAGTGGCTTATCGCGTGGAAATGTGTAGCGGCCAAATACCCTAAACGCGTGACGTTGATTCTAAATGTGGAGGGAAAAACCGGAGGACCCGGAGAAACATTCACGCGACCACGGGGAGAACATGCAAACTCCAAATCTACAGGCATCAGGGTCGGGATCGAACCCACGAGCTCCTGTTGTTAACAATCTGCCACAATTGTCCAAACTGCCAATTGCGATTTTAAAGGTTATTATTCACGAAGAAAGCTGCAAGTTTGGTGTTGGATAGCCTGTGACACACAGCCCAAGTACAGATCTACAATATAAGATCTGTTGGCTTTTTGGGTTCCATCTACCCCCGCCCCCGATGACCACACGAGTCAACTCAAATGTTTGTCTGTGATTTATGGGGTGGTGGTTGTAAATAGACGCAGGGTTCATTGTACTAACAGTGATACACTTGTACACTGCACTTAAGCCTTGTGTGAAGCACTAAACAAGCCTATAACGCCACACGTTTTTGTAACTTTATAACAGCCAGTGAAAAGCGTTACTGACAGTACATTCACGTACCTTATCATGACTTGTACATGCAAGTTGTGTTTGTGTGTGTTCACGTATGCGTGTGTGAATGCGTGTGCGCACGTCCGTACGTTTGTTTAATTGTGTAACTGTGCATGCTGAAGTGGCGTGCTGTGTCTTGGTGGTTCACACTGCGCTATCAACATAGCGGCTTGCGTTCAATTTCCAGCCATGGCGCTAACAGATGAGAATCAGAATTTGGTCCGGGCCTCCCGTAGGTTGATTCGGCCTTATTTGAGTACCCGGTATGATGTGTTAACATCGGCACTGGGGAGACAAAGGTGGCCTGGCCTGGGACGGGCCACACATCCTCGTGCGTCTTGCTGCCCGTCATAATCGCTCACCACGGATCTTACTCTTACAGTTTGTAAAGTTTTAAAGGGATCTTTGTTTATGGGTGTGGATGTTATCTTGTGTAGATGTGCATACATGTGTGTTTGGCTGCATATGTGTATCGTGAGTGCATGTTTTTTCGTGCACATGATCATTAAGGACCTTCATGATGGTGAGCGGGCCCGGGTAAAACTACGTGGCCGGGAGTCAGAGCCTTTCCCTGTACACCTTGGGGTGCGGATTACCTGGTAATTACAGCTCACTCAGAGGAGGAGTTGGAGGCGCTGCTGCTGAAACTGGAGTGTGCCACTAAGAGGTGGGGCCTTACCTTCAGCCCCACCAAAACTAAGCACCTGCCTGGGTATTTTGTACCATCGGGCACTCCACCCCCACAACTCCAAATCGGTGATGGGGCAGTTGTGGAAAGAGTGGAGAGTTTCCCATACCTGGGCAGTGTGCTCATGACCGGCTCCAGTTTAACAGCAGAGGTCTCACTCCGAATCAGTAGAGCGGCATTATCTTTTCATCGGTTGCGTAACGCTGTGTGGAAGTTACCTGGTCTGTCGCTCCGCACGAAGCTTCGGGTCTTCTCGGCCACAGTCATGCCCTCCCATCTCTATGCTTGTGAAACGTGGACCCCTCTAATGGAACATCTGTGCCGGTTAGAAACATTCATGCTGGCATGCCTCCGATCAATCTTGGGTTTAACGGGGCTGGATTGTGTGAGGATCTCACATCCTTGAAAGATCTGAACACATTCCGATCACTGAACTCCTCTGGCAGGCAAGGCTGCGTTGGCTCGGTCATGTAGCCCGCATGCCCAAGCAGCTTTGTTTGGCCGCATAGAGGGGGCTAAACGGGCACGACATGGGCTGCAGAAGAGATGGACTGATGCGGTACGGGAGGATATGGAGTTGAGTGGACTTGCCGACGACCAGTACTAGCAGTGTCAAGATCGGTCTCTATGGAGGAGGCTCGTGAAGGATGCTACTGGGCAGTTGGAGGCAGTGGCTCTCCAGCAACAACGGAGGGCAGAGGAGCGATGCTCACAACAACGAGCGGAGCGTCAGGTGGCTAAAATGAAGCAAGTTGGCACAGTAGGGGGTACAGCTGGTGCATCTTACCAGTCATGTCAGTCAGCCAACCGATGGCACCTGGGTCTGTCTTGAGACCTGTCAGCGAGCCTTCGACACTTCACGTGGCCTCAAAGTGCACCTGGCCTGGCACAGTGGCGATGTCACCGTCACTTAGTGGCGAATGGCGCGGGTATTGGTAGTGTAGCGGTTAGTGCACTATGTTACGAACCAGGCGACCTGAGTTCGATTCCCGCTCACGGCCAACACCAGTGACGATTATCTGAACCGGTCCTCGACCTCCTCTAGGTCGACTCAGCCTCAAATGAGTACCTGGTGTGATGTTTAAACTCCGCTACTGGGGAGATATAGGTGCTGGCCACCCACCATCTCGTGTGCTGTGCCGGCCTTCATAGGTACTTGCTTTAACAGCACTTGCCCCAACAGTTTGTTACAGGCTATATGAGGGGTCTTTGTCTTTGTGGTCGGGCAGCTGTCCAACATGCTGCCGCCCGTGATGGGCCCGGTGCTCATGGGCTCGCATGCCGCCACCATCATGCTGTGGTTCACCATGGCCCTGCTGTCGACGAGTGTGGCGCACTGCGGCTACCACCTGCCCCTGCTGCCCTCGCCCGAGTTCCACGACTTCCACCACCTCAAGTGAGTCTCTCTCCTTGAGCATCACCCGCCCGCCTGCCTGTCACTCACGGCTAGTTTGGCTCGGGGCCGAGCTACGGAGCCTTCGTCTCTGTCTCGGGTGGGTCACGGGGTACGTGGCGCAGTGGTTCATACTCGTGCCTTCAGGCAAGAAGGGACCGGGTTAGATTCCTGGCTCGGCTGCCTTTTTGTATGTTTCTTTCGCCCCAGATTCTGCTTTGGTTTCCTCTGGGTTCTCCGTTTTCCTGCCATAGTAAAAAAAAGATAAATTGTAACTGTTTTTGGTAGAGCATCTCAATTTAAAAAAATACCTGCAAATTAATAATTTATAATTACACAACAACGTTACCCCCCTCCTGTGAAAACATGGGGCAAGGCACTCCTGAAAAAACAGTCTTCAGGCTAGAGTCAGGCTTTCCTCGGTAAACAAGCGTGATGAAAATAAGAATCTCCCAGGGAGTCCACTTTGGTGGAATGGCTGGATATCGGTCCATCGAGCTGGCTAGAAAGAAAGCGAGCATCCTTGAAAAATCACCACCCCTTTTAGCCAAGCTGACCTCAGCTTCCAGCCGTGAGGTCACGGATTTATCATGGCTAAGAAGTGTGCATCCATTACACTTGTAACAGATTCATCCTTGTACGCGACGTGATGGAATTGTCACGTTTTTAGAATCACAATTGGATTCAATAAGTTCATCGTGTTTGTCTCGTTGGTACTGCCTCATTTGGTATGCCTGCAGGTTACACCAGTGCTGTCGAGTGTGCTTGGTTATTACACCTCTTTCACTGTTTCTGTGTGTCATTGATATGCCCTTGCTCGCAGGTTCAATCCATGCCATTTACATCCACATCCCTATACTTCACTGTCCGTGGGTTATTTTTGTGTGCTCGGCCCGCAGGTTTAACCAGTGCTTCGGCGTGCTGGGTGTGCTCGACCGACTGCACGGCACCGACGCCGCGTTCCGCCGCACCAAGGCATACGAACGGCACATCATGCTGCTGGGCCTCACCCCTCTCAGCGAGAGCATCCCCGAGACTCCCAAGCTCGGCAAGGGGGAGTAACCCCCCCCCCGCCGAACCCCCCCCCCCCCCGCCGATCCCCCCCCCGCCAATCCCCCCACTCTCTCTCGAGCCTCGCAATCTCCTCGAGGTTGGGGGGTGCAAGTGCTGTTAGCGAGCACCTGTTCAGGTCTGCACCACGCACGAGTTTACTGGTAGTGGCAGGGCATTGCTTGGACGTGCATGGCCATATTGCATCTCCCCAGTCGCTGAATTTGGCTGCGTTACAGTAAATGCTCGTTGAAGTCCGGGTTCATCTAGGGAAGGTACGTGCCATTTGTCAATGGTTTGTCGTGGCCAGGAATTGAACCGAGGTACAAAGGTTGAAGTGCAGTGTACAAACCACTACAATACACCAGTTCGGGACCATCCATTTAGTACGTACGCAAAAATTTGTCAACTTGACTCCTCCCCCCCTCCCTGTACACACGTGTACTTTTTACACCCCCCCCCCCCCACCTGCGTACGTACGCTTGACGCACCACCCCCCCCCCCCCCCCCCCCCGAATCCTATAGAACGGCTGATATTTAATCCACGCAGAAATGATCAAGGATTAATAATATTAACGTGTTTAAGCAAACAGATAGTCCACCGCCGGACTATCTAACTCATTTGAAGGCCAATGTAGACAAATTATTATCGAGGCTTCACCGCCCCCCCCCCCCCCGTTTCCTGTGCGTACATTGTCAGTAGACCCCCCATACGCAGGCGTACACATTTGCGTTAACCACCCCCCTTCCCCCTCCATGCGTACGTACTGAATGGATGGCCCCTTACTCTCCAAACAATCGTGTTAAGTGCTCCCCTTAATAGGTGCTTGCTAACATCACTTTGTGTGTCTCGCGTAATAACTTTTAGATTTCGCTTCATTTTAATGTCATCAGAGTCGCACATGCCAGGGTGGCAAATACTGGTCAGCTGCTTGCAAGGCATCGTGGGGCAGAAAAGCTCTACAGTACATCGTAAGCTCAGCTGAAGGACCCAACCACAAGTTGTAGGTACAGCGTCATAAAATATCCAGCAGCTTAAGCAAAACGTTCAGAAATTGACACATTATTGTCTTTCATTTGAATTGCCAATGAAAATGCACTTCTGGACTGTTTCACGATTCGTTTTTGTTGATAAAAGGGACTTCCAGGAAGATCTCCTCTTGGAATGTCTTTTCCAGTTCCTTTTTAAGTCGCCTTTCGCTCTGGAGGAAACTGGAGTTACCCGGCTGAAAACCAAGGCACACAAATGGATACCATGTACAGATTCACAAACCGAATTTCTGTTGTGCCATATTCCTGGCTGCCTTTTGCAGCCTGGCGGGCTTTGGGCAGTTTTACAAATCGACGTGAATTACTAAATATGCCACCGCACCCCGTGTGTGTGCACAATGCATTGAGATACTTTATGCAGAACCATTCTTTGTTGCGCAAGTATTTTTGGTTCATTTCCAATGTTGTGGATTATATTGGCTGGAGAGAGAGAGAGGGTGTGTTGCAGTGTTTTGAGAAAATTAATCTGCCTGGGCATGTTACACACGAGAATCTTCACTGCTTATCGGTGTAATCTCCTCTGGGTTTAACTCCCTTCATGCCGTGGGCAGATGACTTTTCCAGTTTACCCATTTAACACGTTTAATCTTTTTGGAAGGAGTGAAGTGATTTACTTGTCGCTCGTCATTGAGAAAAGTTTTAACGATTGTGAGATCCGTGCCTAATGGCCACCCGGCTCGTGATAGCAATGGCTGCCTACGGGAACAATCGGAAACATTGCTGCGTACGAACATGGAATGCGCAACCCATGCAACTCAAACCAATGGGCTGGTGATGTGTGCTGCCCAAACCATCGCTCTTAACAAGTCCAACGACCAGCTTTTGTTGACGTCTTTCGATACTTTACCCAGGAAAGCTGCTTTCTGATGTTTTTCCCTGGTGATTAATGTCAACAACCATTTGATTGTAAGGTGACTTGCATTTTCATTGGAGGTCGCTTTATGATATATTTTAGTCACCCGTCTGCCAAGCTCTCTTGGGTAAAGATTGATGTTGTTCATTGGTCTCGTCATTTTTATAGTGATTTATAAAATGTCTAAACGTACTTTCTTAAACGGATACATTTTCTTCTGTTTTTAGTCTTATTTTAATTCCGTGGAATTGATTGAATGCTCCCGTTTGAAATGAAGAAATAGTAAAAATGTTTAGTAGCGTATGGATTGTGAGCAGTGCCATATGATCAGATCTTCATGTGTTCCTGGTTGCCAAATGTGTTTTTATGCCTTCAATTATCGTTTGGTGGAGATTATACCATTTATGTTTCATCCAACATTTACACTTAAATTGAAGATTACTTTTTGTGATACCGCTCCGTTCGATTGCATTCAACGTGACCTGTTTTTGTCATCCGTGGAAACATCTGTAATTTGCTCACAAGCCTTCCACGATTTCTTCTACGTGTATTCACATTATGTTTAACAGCTAATTAGTAGAGTAGTAGTGCACTTTATTAAGAGAATTGCAATATTCATGAAGATTCAATAACTCACGAAAAATTACTCTGCGACTCACAAACGACCGTCCAGGTCTGCGAAGTGTGTTCATAAAGGGATCGACCATTCCGCAAATGGATAATTACACAGCAGCTTTTGAGGTAGGTTGATAGACCTACACACGCTTAGGACACATCAAGATTTTTATCGCAACGAGTGTCATCCTCTCTGAACCTACGTGTGTCCACCATGGCAATCGCGACGCACATCGTTACATCTGGGAGGCCCAGCCGCTTGGCTAACGCCTCGCAATTCTTGCGAATGCTCCTCTAATGTGCTTCTTTTGAAAATCGAACGCCGTTTGTATTTGGCATAAACTTTAGATTTTCATGTAATTCGGACATTGGACCGTATAGAGTTCAAACTGGGATGTCTGTGTGGGCACCTTGTGGGTTCATATTTCAATTGGTATCAAACCCAACATTTAAAAACATTCTACTAGGAATGGAAGTTTTACAGGGAACAGCATTTGTAGTGTTTTTTTCCATGGCACTTGAGCAATGCAGTGTGTAAAAACGAAAAACCCCAATAGCACTGGGACCTTACCACTCCAAGACTTGCGTTTTCTTGGGATTTCTTTGCACTCAAAAAACACGTGGCATTTAGTAACAGACGACTTCAATGCACTTTTTGTTGTAACACTCAAACCACGTCAAAAGTCTCTAACCTGTTTCCGAATTGTGCACCAAAACGAAGCATTTCCTTGCCTACTATTTGCCTTAACGCAACAAAGATCAGGTTGAAACTTTACGTGTTGTATTTTGACAAAATACTTATCAGTTAATCGGCAAGCTGTGGTGTTCTGGAAGATGGTCAATTTTCTTGGTGCGCTTTAATTGCTTTTGACGTTTTTTTAGATTCTGCGTAGTTGGACGCAACAAGTTGTACTCCATTAACTTTAACGTTTAACTGCTGATCGTGACTAGTTTCTGCTGTTGTACACGTGTTACACGTATATGTGTGGTTTTAATAAAGGGCCCAATTGTTGCAAAGTATATTTCATTTACATTTGTGTCGTCTTTCCCCCCTCCAAACTTTATCCCAAATGTGGTCAATGGTGGCATCACGTCACGTGACGAAGGCAGCCATTCGGATTTCTCGGGAAGGAGCGGGCCCCCAACCCCCTTTGCTGTTCGTGAACGGGGCAGCGGACATCAGAGCTTCCACCGAGATCGCTTTTAAGCGACCTCTGGTCAACATTGAGGGCAGTACTCATTCGCCCTGCCACCAAGAGTAATAATGTTCATCGCATGACATTGATTTAACATTTTAATAATTTGAAACTTTGCCGAATTGTATGGTCGTTGATGACCGGACGGAGGCCAAATCATAATTGAGAACCCAGTTTAATCACAGGTTGGCTACCTGGATTCAAATTCAGGATATCTTAAAATAAAACTAAACTATTTTACCAAATGAGGCCCACACAGCTCTTTCTCAGAAGAGACCGGACCACATTTAATTATAGCTCAACAAAGTGGCTATGTAGAAATTTATAGCAGCTAAATACTCAAAGTTTGTTTCACAATCCGCTTGTCCTGGTGAGGGTAGCGGGGGGCAGGATGCTGCGTAGGAGGGTCTCAGACCTTTTCCCTGGGACGGACTCTAGCTGTTCTGGAGGAATTGCCAGGTGTTCCCAGGCCAGCCGAGTGACAGTTTCACCAGCGTGTACTGGGTCGGCCCTGGGGTCATCGCTTCAATGTTTCGAAATGTGGAGGGAAAAACCAAAGGACCTGGAGAAAAAATCCATTGCAACCACAGGAAGAAAATACAAACTCCAAATATACAGCAGGCACCAGGGTTGGGATTAAACCTATGACCTGTATACCAGGCGAGGTAGTTAACATCTCGCCACTATGGCACCCCATCTGAAGTTAGCAAGTTTTACTCTGGGGCCAAATAGTGGTTATGGTGCCCTGCAATCTAGAACTTTGGGAGGCAAGATCGTGAAGGAATTAGAAAAAAAATCCTAAATCTGTTGGGTGGTCCCTCGGTTTACCGTATTTGGATTCACAATCCGCCTCCCATAGGGTTCCCCCATTGTTCCTGATACATTTTCGATGTTTATGATATCACGCGGACACACCAATTCTGGCCAATCGGAGTGCTCCTTAAGCAGACTTGGCAGCAAACCTGAGCCAATCATCAACGCCATTTTATGAGCGTTTTGAGAGCAACTGGCTGACAGCTTTTCAGTGTTTGATGGTGCGTTGCTTATGAAAACGATGCCCTTGAAGACTTTTTTTTTTACTTAAAACATAAGATCACTAACAATGGCCCCTAAAATGAATGTGAAGACAAGTGATGAAAACTATTTTCTCCCAACCCAACTTCTCCATCAACCCCTTAAGGCATTGTCTTAGCCTAAGCAATGCAATGCTCTACTTATGCACCTTTGTATGCTCTTCTCATTATTTACCCATGTTTCTATTATGAATACTTTAATGTTCATATGTTAATTTATAATTGCGTGTTTAAATATTATAAACTATGTTTTTAGGGTGGAAAAAAGTCAACTTCCGATCGTCTTGGAACAAATAAAGCCCTTGCACATCTATTTCCTATATTCGATTAACGATCGTCTAAGTTAACGATGGTTTTCGGCGAACTAATTAATATCGTTCGCCGAGAGACCACTGTACAGCAAATGAGTTCGGGGTCCCATCTGTGCGGCGTCATCCCCTCTCGTTCGTGGATTTTCATCAGGATCAGGTTTCCTCCCACGTGAACATAAACTCAGTATAAATGGTCAAACGCCTCCATGCAGGATCCCACCTGAAAAAAGGCATCTTGAGACTCGGTCTGTCTTGCGCAAAGAAGCCACTTTTATTTTAGACAACATTCATACTGCATAGCAACTTCACAGTACCCGTCACTGAGAGGTTGAAAAGCCTATGCAGCCTTCACCTCGGCAAATCAGACAACTTTCACATTCCACTACTCCCAGAACAACACCACCACACGCGTACACACACACGTTCAACGATAGTTAAAATATATCCTCTTGGAAATTATCAACGGGTCTCATTTCGTGCTGCTAAGCACGAGACGAAGCTGCCACCCATTCCAGTGACAGCCACTTGCCGGGTGGGTGCCACGGTGGCGAGATATTTACTACCCCACCGAATATACAGGATGTCGTGAGTTCGACCCTGACCCCGGACGCCTGCTATATATTTGGAGTTTGTGTGTTGTCCCTGTGTATTTTTATCCGGGTCGTCCGGTTTCCACCCTCCACATTTGTGGAAACATGCGTTTGCAGTATTTGGCTGCTCTAGATTTCCACGTGATAAGCCACTCGGCCGGGCTGTCATTTGTGGTCAAGTCACTCGTGAAAAAGAGCTCCTATATAGCTCAGCAGGCCGAGCCTGGTAAAATAAGAGATGTGTTTAGTTTCTCTTTCCCCCTCCTGACTTACTCCATTCTAATCATCTAACCACCTTCCACCTGCTGCCCTGTGCTCTACCCCTACACAATGTGTGCTCCGTTTCCACGACCAATGTGCAACATACCCAAAGCCATGCCGGGCTGTTTCTGCAACAGTCATAGAGTATTGTCCAATGCTTCCATAGCCGGGCAGCGCTCTGTTACCCGGTGCATCCTCTCTGCCTCTTCCTTGCCTCCTTTCTCTCTGTGGCCAGAGGGATACTATTATAACATTGCTTTACAGTTTCATGCACGCTTGCTTTAGAGTACAATGTTCCAAACCAAAAGTATTTTTGTTGTAATTTTCTATTATTTTGTATATAAAATATTGCTATTCGGGAAAAGTCCCCTGAAAAAAAAAGTTAAGTTTTCTTCACGGCTTCTCCCTCTCACGGCACGATGGCAACGACACAGTCTGGAGACTGAACTGGGAAGCCGAGTAAAGCTTTACTTTTTAAAATGAGAGCCAAACGGTGTGGTAGGGGGACTGACTTCGCCTCGGCAAGACTGCCATGGGAATGTGGGCCTAGCAACTTTTCCGGGCCAGCTTCACATCTCAACAGTTGTGGTAATGCGACATCTGCACTCCACTCACTCAACAACCCTCCAACCCCAATGCACCAATCACCCCTCCCCAGCAATTCACCTTCCTACCCTGTTGCAAAATGTATAGCTTAGTGCCAAGTTAAAATTGAGGGGGAGAAAAAAGAAGTAAGCTATAATAATGTTTAGTTTTTCAGTCACCGAGACAATGAAATGCTACAATTTCCAGCCCTGGAACTCGGCGAGTTTATCGGAAACTTTCGGGTTTCTCTATTTTACATATGAGGTAATGAGTGTTGTGCGAGTGACTTGGGGCAAATGGGCTTAAAAGTATGCTTACGATTGATGACGGGCACTTTGGGCTCTTTACAGAATACATTTCAGCTCTTATTTCCCCAACTTAAAAATCAGACCAATGGAAAGTTGCGCTTCAGCAACTAGCACAACACGTGGTCAATTTTCTTTTGTGTCGTTGGCAAGGGTCAATCCGGCCAGGTGGCGCTGTGGTCAGAGCATCTGCCCCAACCAGAAGAACATCCATTCGAACCCCAATGAGGTCGACTTGGCACACCATCCCCAAAAGGTGGAAAAAAACAAGTATCTCGATGTGGCAAAGTCCACAGCAGTTGTCCTATGGAGGGACGGGTCCCCACAATGACAATGCTGAATTTCCTCCATCGGGTCAGGGTCACCAAGCCCCCAATGCTTGCTCGCTTGCTCGCTTAGGGAGACACTTTTTAACTTAACATTGTGGATTCGGGACAATCTAAGAATTGTTACGTCACTGCATCGATTGCCAGTCCCAAACCCCTTTCTCATCACCCCCTTCGCTTCTTCCATTTCACCCCGGTCGCTCTGCCCACCACCCGCTGCCGATGGGCTCCACAAACAGAACCGCCGGCCCCCGTCGGCCGTCCTTTCACTTCTTCCCGCGCTTGTTCCCCGGTGGTGGCTTCTTGAGCTGCAGCGGCTGGGAGACGTTGGCCAGACCCAGGCCAGGCGTGGACGAGACGCCGAAGGTGAGCCCAGCCGACGGGTTGAGTCCCGGGTTGCTGAAGCTGAACCCGGAGGTGGAACTCCCTCCTGCTGTGCCTGCAAAGCCTGCCGCCACAAGGGTGGGGGGGATTCCATTACACGTGCCGCGTGAGGTCCGAGACTGTGGTCCACACCTTTCAGGAGATCCCACCAAAGTATCGCTGGCCACACTTACAATATTCTTTGCATATAACTGCGTGCACTTGCGCTATGGTGTAGCTGCGGTGAGCAACACTTGACTTGCGATGCGATCTACTTGTTGCCCCCCGCAGTTGAAACAAAGGTGCACGTGTATTAAACCCTCCCTCCTCGCCTCTGTCCACACAGCGGTATAAATGGCTTCACAACGCTTAGTCGAATGGCAGGCTGTACAAATAACCCGGGAAAAGTAGCGCACTTCCGCAGTTCCGTCTAGCGGCCATAAGTTTCACCGACAGCCTAATCAGACAAGGAGGTAATTTTGTAAGAGATACCTGCAGTAACTATTAAAGATTTTCAAAACAAGAGATCAGGGTGCAGAAATGTGGTGCCAGAAAGCACAAGATTGTATAACACAGGGATACATTGTGTTGTTTTATTAATGCTGTCCGTATTGTCTATGGAAAATGGTTTAATGTGCTGCTGTATGTCGCGCAGAGAATGAAAGTGGACACCGAGTTGATAGGGTCCTACTTACTGCATCTGGGACAGATGCCCAAGGACACCAGAAATGTGCCTGCAATGCTCCTTTTTGTGTAGAACCTATGCATGCGGCAGCAGGTGCCAGGGATAATGTTGTTCAAGTGCTGGATGATGCGCCTGACACATTTTCATGTGAGGAAATGTTACATTTTAAGTCAGTGCAGTGAAATGCCTAATCTGAAAATAAAGTGCTATCCGATGGCGGTGAAACGACCGAGAGCTCGTACGTTTGTAGCTTGTTGCAGAGGCTTGCGGTTCAAACCCTGCAGCTGCCCTGGTTAAAACCCTGCAGGTGCCCTGGTTAATACCG